GCCGCGCTCTGCCCCGGCCGGAGCCGGAGAGGCGCGTACAGCTTCTGAGCACAGCGCTTAGCAACCCCTCGGGGTCCTGTGCTAACCAGTGACTATGATAGACGCAGGGCTTAACTGCAAAGGGACAGAAGGCCGAGCAGAGCAGACCAAATGCCTGGGCCACACGGACAAGGCACCTAAGCAGGGTTATTTCTTCCCTTTCTAGGAAGTTATTTTTTCTCTTTGTACAAATAGTCTCACTGTGAAAAATTTGGAAAAATATCAAAATACGAAAAATCGCCTGTAAATCTATCATTTAGCTAACTTCCAATACTTTTTTTCCTGGAGAAAACATTTTCTTGTACAAATATAATTCCAATGATTTACTTAAGTTCAAATAGAAAGGAAACATAAATAACTAGTTATTATTCAAATACACAGCTCCGTAAACCCAAGGCTCCCAAAAGAATGTAAAACACCCAACCATCAGCCCCCGTCCCCCCAAACCCCCCGCCTCCCCCACCAGCTCTGAGGCTTCCAGGGCCCCTCTGAGGGCTAGGGCGGTGGGCACGTGGGAGAGCGGGGTCTGCCTGCACAGCCGGGGCTTCTATTTAATAAACATGTCAGACAGACAGAGTGACAGGAGGGCAAAGGGGAGAGGCGAGCCCACAGAAAAGGCCCGCGGCCCACACGGGAGGGAAGCCCACTGCTGGCTACGGGAAAGGCAGCGCCTTGAACACATCTGTGACCTGAGGTCGTGGCTGGCTTGAAGCGGGCCAGGTAGGTGGCGGCTGGGCCGTTTCCACAAACGCGCTCTGCCTGTTGGTGGTGAGCAGCCCGGTGAGGAGTGCCGCCGACACACAATTACTGCTCAGTGTGAGAGGGTCTTCTGTCTCGGTGTCACTGCCCTGAGACAGAATGTTTCCAGTCCCAGGGAGACTTCGGAGGCCCCTGCCCTTTAAATCAAGCAGTGACATCTTCTCGCTCGGCCCTATTTAATTAGCTGCGTCCAGCATGCTGCGACCCCGTGCCCTCCGTTTAACCTTCACTGATAAGTGCAGGTCAAGGGGCACGTAAGTTTGAATATAAAAATTAAACCAATTTTTCAAGGAACCTATATTTCCTTTTTAGCCAGAATTAATTGCCTAGTCAGTACATTGATTTGTTTCTTGAGACCACCTTCAATTGTAAAAAGTGTCAGGCCAGACGATATACAATATCCGGGACCTCAGGGCCATCTGTGCCAACATGAATTCAGAGTGAACCACACTCTGTACTGAAGGGACAAAGATATTTTGACAGCCTTATTGGTACACAATGAAATGGAAACTGTGGAAAATATTCTAATGAAACATGCTACTACTGCACGATGAGGCTCACACAATAGCACACAGCTTTGCCGCTGCAACACCGAACTTTCCCACGCCACGTGTGCCTCTACCCTTTATCGCCACCAGCTGCGTTGGTCCGCATTTCTCGAGGGCCTACTGTGTGCGGGCTCGCGGTGTCCTTCCTGTAACCCACAGACTTGTGAGTTATCTCTTATCGAAGTTTATTCCTCACGCCCAGTCCGGAGGAAGACCCTCCCATCCTAGCTACACTGGACATGAACTTGTGGTCGGTCACACCAGCACCAGCCAATGTTTCTTACCTGAAAAGCAGGCAGGTCAAGAGCTGCAAAGCTGTTGAAGAAACGTAAACTCTGAATGGCCACCTGGATCGTGTTCTGCGAGTAACTCTCCTTGGGGCTGGCGGTGCCGGGGTCCGAGATGGTGCCGTGGAACAGGATGCAGTAGAGCATGTGCAGGACCCCCGCGAGGTCTGTGGCCTGCAGAGCCGCTGTCAGTCCCGTGAGGTCCTGGCGATTGCTGTCGAATATGCTGTACGACCTGACAAAGAAACACGCGGCTCCTTACCTCTACTTCCAGGATGGCAGCGTGTCTGCCGGTCGCGTGGAGCAGGACGAGCAGGCGCTGAGAGCACACCATCTGAGCGGTTAACAGGGAGCGAGCGCCCTCGAGGCACCCCTGCCGCTGTGCACACTGAGCACGCGGCCAGGGCTGAGGTCGCCACCAGCCTCCGGTCTCCGAAGCCGGGTAGCCCCGCTCTGTTAGATTCCAGGTCTAGACAGAGTCCACGAACCGCTGGGACCAGAGGCCAACACCAGCATGGCCTCCTCAGGATGCACAAAGGGCACCAGGGGAGGCAGCTCTCAGGCAAGCAGAGGCCTCACGACCCATGGCTGTGCTGGGGCCCTGTGGGGGGCAGACATGGCAGCCCCTGGGGCAGTTTCACCGTCAGGGCAGGGCAGGGCGTGGGGCCAGACTCCCCAACAAGCGTCTGGATGAGCGTCATGTGAACGACCAGGAAATCGGCTGGGCAGCCACGGGCAGCATGTGGGGGAGCCAGGGGCACGTGCTGGGAAAGGAACTCCTGGAGCCAACGTGAAGCCAGGGTTCGCACACCCATCGTACCCCTCAGCTCGGGTCCCAGGACACACCGACTGACCAGGAACCTGCGGTACTCGTGCCACAGCTGCCAATCATTCACTCACCCCCCACCCCGATCACCCCCACTGGGAAACGGCACCCAGATCGCTCCCCAGGAGGCACCTCCGAGACCTAGTGACTAGGTGACAGGCTTTAGGTCATACAAACGTGCTGGTGGCACGGGCAGGGGACTCCCAAGGACTTTGAAGGATGCCCTCTTTTCCCCTCCATGCCTCCTTCTCTGACATCCAATCTCGGATGAACTGAACACTGTTAAACGAGGACACAGACTGCAATGTGACCTTGCATCATCGTGGAGAAACTTTCTATCTTACGGGACTCGATGAGAACACAAAGTTAAGCAATCGCATTGATTTGCTCACGGGCACCTCAGAACCTTGCACGCTGTGTGTGTGTGTCCGTCGGCCCTTCCTCCCCCCACAGCCAGAGAGGCGGGGGTCAGACCCTGACGGGAGACGGAGCAGAGACTAATGCGTCTGAGTTTATGATATAGGTTCCAACAAGGGTCTGTGTTTGTTTAGCACCGACTGCCTCTGAGAGCCAGTGACAAGTCAGAGACGTTTCTGCCCGAAGCCTCGGGGATGAGTGACATGACGCTGCGGAAAGTCCTGCTGCTGTGAACGAGAGGCTGCCCCCCGCCGCCCCCCATTACTGCTGGCGCTGCTTTTAAAGGGACTTTCAGCACACCCACATGCAGGCATTCAGGAATACGGCTTTGACATTTAAGGCGCCTTAATACCTAGTCTTTCCAAGCATTTATCAGGTGACATGAATTCACTGCTATTATTTTTTCAAAAGTAAGTATAAGAAAAAAAAGTCAGTAAAGTCATCAGAATTCGTCCCCCTCTCCCTACCCCACTCCATTACTGAGGGAAACGCTAATCATCGCTCATAAAGAAACACACCCCAAGATCTTCGGCAACATTCTCCTGATGGAGCGAAAGTGGGCCTTCAGAAAAATCGATCGAGTGAGCGTCCGAGAACTCGGACGGAACGGAGACGGCTCAGGGCACACACGTGTCACTGCTTCAGGGAGAAGACCTTTCCCTGCAGGGCGGGGCGGGGGGT